ATTACTTTTCTTATATCTCAATCATATTTCATCGATGAAGCTTTTCATATATCGCAGACAATATGATACTGTTTGTGGAATTTTACACAGGTAATACATGGCACAAAAATAATTTGTTCTAAAGTATTGTGCGCATTTCTCAAAAATAAATCAAATTAAATTATTTTCAGAATCCAAAAATCGCTACATTGCCAGGATTGTATCTTATTATAACTGCGATATTATCACCTTTTAATATGTGTGCGCAGTATTACATACATAAAATATATAAATTTATTTGAAACGTATGGAAATCTCTGTCTTATTTATAATATTTATAATATTATAAAAGAAAATTGCAACTCTAATGAAACAGAGCGGTGAAGTAATTGGTTGATACTTATGCTGGTCTACAATATTTACCCTTTTTTCACCATTAGACTGGTGCTTTTTTTATTATACAGATGTTATCTGTAAATATAGTACTCGTAATGTTGTTTCTGTATTACTGTAAGCACACAAAAATGATAGCATTTGCAAGTAATTATGTTATACTTATATATCATAAGAAAGAGAAAATAAAATTAAAGTTGAATACTGAATGTGCTCTAAAGTAAATCTCATCTAAATAAATAAATGCATAAATGTGCGCCTCACATTCCTCATGAAAAAAATACATAATATTAATCTTTATGTATTATTATTTTTAGATTTGTTTTTTATTCTTTTAAATTCTCTAGATGCACTTTTCTTCTCTCTTTCTTTCCAACTACTAAATATAGATCTATCATTTTTAATATAGATCTGTCATTTTTAGTGTACATTATTGCAGTAAGTGGAATAAAGAGCAAATCTTTTGGCACATTTAAAATGTACAGGAAAGTCAGTTTTATCTGATGCGTTTTTTTCAATAGAAATATCTGAAAAAATTCATACGTCTTTTTTAATCTTAGTCTTTCTAAATAAAAATTAGAATAATAAATTTGCAAAATAATTTGTTTTAATATATTTTTAGTGCAAACATATGAAGCAAAGTGCTCAAGGTGCATCACTATGAAAACATCGATAGAATAAAAAATAGATCGTATACAAAAAAATTAAAATGTTTACACTACATATTTGATATAGCATTTAATCGATATGTGCAGTAATACGGTAAAATCTAATTTTCTCTCGAATTTTTTCACGAAATTTAAACTACTAAAAAAATATCAAATATTCAAATTGTTCAATAGTCTTGTGAAAGAAGCAGTTCTCGCTTAAAGAATCTTTAGAAAAAAAAAATAAAAAAATTCTAAAGAAAAAAAGGACAAGAAATTTTAAATCTCACATGGATATTTAATTTTATACTAATATTTTTAATGTAACATTTCATTTATAAAGATTTTATTTTGTGAAACGTTTATACATAAAAGTACAATAATTATACAGCTTCTTTAATCTATTGTTTCATCTTCGCATGGTTTTCGTTTAAATAATAAAATATTTGTGCCTCTGGATATTTTTCTCTGGAAGCTTTATGCAATGTGTGTAACTTAAATCTGTTAACGTACAAGTATTAGAGTAACGGAATAAGTATATGTAATTTGATTAAAAACACGTGTTTTACATGAACTTTTAATTACATATTTTGTTATGTTACAAATAAAAAAATCATGCTTGCGCGACGCGATTCTAACAATTTACCGACATGCACAAAATGATGACTTTACCGGCAGTCGAAGTATCTGGACTACCTAATTCTGGCGTTTAACGCGAATGCAGATGGCGATACTAAACAAAGAAAGATGGCTGCATGAGTGAAACGTGAGGCGCGAAATATTGCATTTCGTATATCGTTCTTTGCGAAAAAAATGTGTGAAAGTATTGTACGTATTCGCGATTAACAGTTCGGTATTGATGAATACTAATCAACGCAAGTATAATTTGTCGTGCATTGGATATCTTTTCAAACTCTGTATATGAATCGCTCTCAGTCTTTTAAAATGCAAAACTAAATATTATAAGATTTGACTTTGGAAAAGCGCGATAAAACAACGAATCATTCGTAATTCATATCATTAGCATAATATACTATGAATTTTCTACGTTATATATTGAATCGAAATTGCGCGAAAGAGGAAAAAAAGAACAAGCCTATGAATAGACATTTCCATCCTTTACTAAAAGAAAAAGAAATTAAAAATATATCTCAATTTTTTTTCTATTTCTTCGGGCAAGTCTACATATATGACCAATATGATTAATTGATTCCATCTTTATATATTTATCATTATGTGCTATTAATTAAAGCCGTAGACAATATTCAGAAATCAAAGTTGCGCGCAGGAATGGCCATACGCAGAAACGAATGCGCACTGGTTCGGCCGCCATGTTGGCGCGTGACTTCTCGTCACTGCTACGTCACTGCTACGTCAAACGCGTCATACGGCCGCCATGTTGGCGCGTGAATCGGAGTCATACGCAGTTACACGGATCGTCGTACGTCCGCATTTTTCGCATCTTTTAACCGTTTTTAAATGAATATCGCGAGTGAACGAGCGTCGAGAGTGTCGAAGAATGATCGCGCGACTTTTATAGTGTGTCGATGGAAACGCGCGACAGCGATTTTTAACGATATTCAGTGATGGCGTCATTGCGAAGATGGAGCGAAGTTGCGTCGCGTTATTCGCGCCCTTGATGATGATTATCGGATGCGAGCGAATATCGGGAGTGCCGAATAAAGTGTCGCGCGTTCGCGTTGATGATATCGTGTGGATTTGTGTGCATCAAGATCGGAATAGGACGTTCCGAGGCGAGCGAACTGTCCCGAGGAGGAGCGGCTTGTGGAACAGCCGGTGAGTAGATTTGATTTATCATATTTGCGTGATAATTTGTGCTCATTCGACGCTTATACAGCATCGCGATGTCCCGAATTACATTCGGACAAATCGGCATCATAATTCGATTCGGTGCAATTCAAATAAAGTCGATCGCGTGAAGATGGTTATGCTAGAAGCGATTTCAAATTTATTTTGTACGCGCGCGCAGTGCTGCACAGCCTATCTCGTAGGGCTGCAAACTGTTAAACGATAAATTTGTTTGATCTAACCTAACCTAACCTAACCTAATCTTTCAGTGTCTTTGGATATCGAATGTAAACAAAAGCGTATGCTCCCTGGATTTTATCATGCTTTCAAAAATAATATTTAATTATTTCATTAGTGTATTACATTTTATTACGTAGTATATTAATCGTATTAAATGTGCGACGTATAGTTTTACACATTTTAATGAGGAGCATATAATATAATTGGTTAGGTTAGATTAAATTAAAACAAGCTGCTGTGATTCATTTAACGTAATAGGATTAATTTGACGAATGTGCAGCTATTGAAGTTACATGATATTTGTGGACACATTTTTAAAGTAATCATGAGTGTCTTATCTCATCTCGATTACATGAAATTAAAATATAAAATATTTATGTATTCCACATTAACGTTATTCATTACAAGTACTATATTACTTTTCTTATATCTCAATCATATTTCATCGATGAAGCTTTTCATATATCGTAGACAATATGATACTGTGTGTGGAATTTTACACAGGTAATACATGGCATAAAATTAATTTGTTCTCAAGTATTGTGCGCATTTCTCAAAAATAAATCAAATTAAATTATTTTAAGTAGGATCCAAAAATCACTACATTGCCAGGATCGTATCTTATTATAACTGCGATATTATCACCTTTTAATATGTGTGCGCAGTATTACATACATAAAATATATAAATTTATTTGAAACATACAGAAATCTTTATCTTATTTATAATATTTATGATATAAAAGAAAATTGCAACTCTAATGAAACAGAGCAGTGGAATAATTGGTTGATACTTATGCTGGTCTACAATATTTATCCTTTTTTCATCATTAGATTTTTGGTGCTTTTTTTTATTATGCAAATGTTATCTGTAAATATAGTACTTGTAATGTTGCTTCTGTATCACTGTAAGCACACAAAAATGATAGCATTTGCAGGTAATTATGTTATACTTATATATCATAAGAAAGAGAAAATAAAATTAAAGTTGAATACTGAATGTGCTCTAAAGTAAATCTCATCTAAATAAATAAATGCATAAATGTGCGCCCCACATTCCTCATGAAAAAAATACATAATATTAATTTTTATGTATTATTATATTTTTAGATTTTTATTCTTTTAAATTCTCTAGATGCACTTTTCATTTCTCCTCTCTTTCTTTCCAACTACTAAATATAGATCTATCATTTTTAATATAGATCTGTCATTTTTAGTGTACATTATTGCAGTAAATGGAATAAAGAGCAAATCTTTTGGCACATTTAAAATGTACAGGATAATTTTATCTGATGCATTTTTTTCAATAGAAATATCTGAAAAAAATCCATACGTTTTTTTTAATCTTAGTCTTTCTAAATAAAAATTAGAATAATAAATTTGCAAAATAATTTGCTTTAATATATTTTTATTGCAAACATATGAAGCAAAAGTGCTCAAGGTGCATCACTATGAAAACATCGATAGAATAAAAAATAGATCGCATACAAAAAAATTAAAATATTTACATTACATATTTGATATATCTGCAAATATTTCCATTATTTTGAGATTGATTTGTTTCATGATATATTGCAATAATTAAAATATGATTTCTGATATAATCTGCCATGAGACTGCAGAGAAAGCCAGCTTTAATTCTTTATTTTGTTCAATATTTTTAATAATATAATAATTAAATTAAAGTTCTATGAAAATATGCTTGAAATACTAAATGAAAAAGATTGTTTGTTATGTACAACTTTATACAGTTTAGGTAAACAAAAAATTATTGTTAATAATATATATATATAAATTGATAATTAAATAAAACAATTAATTAATTAATCGACACAATCTACGTTTTTTTTTAGCTTTATGTCTAACATATATATATATATATATATATATATATATGTATATATATTTTTATAAATAAAAAATGTTTCGTTCTAATATAAATTAAATAAAAAGTATAATATGCCTTTAAATACTTTATATTCACACCTATTGCAATAAACCAACCAAAGAATGCTTTTACATTCCTCCTTGTACTTTGGCATACATATCCTTTATGCCAATTGTCTCGCAACATGCTTTTATCGCATGATGACAAACAAGCCCATTATCCTTCATGAATTTTCTTTACAAATATTTTTATATTCTCAAAGTGTGTAAAAAAATCATGTAACACTGAAAAATATAAAGTGATATTAAAAGAGAAGAAATAACTTTTATATTATATAGTATTGACAAGTATTTTCTTACTAGTGTGTTCCTTATATGTAGGAATATACATTAATCTTTGACCAGCCCTATTTTTAACCGTCTTTAGGGATGCTTTGGCTTTTGATAACGCAAATCCAGCGCGCTAATCCATTTCCATTTCCAGTTACTATAAATGAACTGATTCTAGTCTTACGTGCTAAATTACTGGTCATACAAGTTATCATTTTGTTTTCCAAAATCCAGGTTTCAAAACTTTCAAATGTATCTGCAGAAAACAAAGATATTAATTATATAAAATTCTAATATTTAGAACTGAAACATCAAAAAAAAAATTGAAAATAGACATCGTATCACATGATTTTTGTATGTGTGTGATTTAACCATTATAATCCAATAATAGCATAAATATTAACCTTTTCCAATAAGATCTGATTCAATGCTTCTGCCATCCATTGTAACACTCGTCCAACCACATTCCAATGGCGATAATTTTATTTGCATTGATCTGGTCTGACTTTGTGGTAATTCCATTTTTGCTTTCTTTCAAGATTTACAAGCAGTTTTTGCTGTTGAATTAATTCTTTTCCTCTAAACACAGGAGTGTTTAGACCAGGAAATTGTATCGGAATTTTTCCCATGCCAATAATTTGCTCCTTATTTAGGTCTCTCTTTTCACTACTCTTCTTGCTGTACCTCTGCATCTTCCTGCATTATTGATACTTGTCACATCTTTTCATAATTCATCTTCAGGTCCTATAGAACAAAAGCACAGTGAAATACAAACTATTTTCTACTGTAAATATAAACTATTATCAAAATGCTATATCCATAAAAGTTCTACTTACTATTCGCAAAGAACATAGAGTTTCTCACATTATTTAATAAAGTGACTATTTTTAATAAATGTGAATGACTGACAAGCAATAAATTAAACAATATTAAACAATAATATATACCTGAAAAAAATTTCATAATTTTATTAGAATTAAATTGATAAATTAATTTTAAATACATATTATATGTTAATTACATATAATGATTTAGAGACAATGATATATTTCATTTGTGTTACCATTGTTTACAGATTGAACATTTTTATCAAATTATTTACAACTCTACAAATATGTAGCATACGACAAGCCATTTTGAAAATCTATAAAACAAACAACAAAATTGTTCATAGTTTTCACTCTGTTTTGTCATAGTCTGCTTTTGTCATAATCTGCTTTTAGGCGATCTCTGAAAGCAATGCATCCTATAAACAAAAAAATATAAATATGAACTACGTAGTCAAATCTACAAATGTTTTCAATGGGTAACATAATTTCGGATTGTATTCCATGCCACTTTGTGATCTCTCTCTCTCTCTCTCTATCTATCTATCTATCTATCTATCTATCAAGTATAATTATTATAATATATTACTCGATATTATATTATATTATATATTAATCACTCATTATCTATCACCACCATCGCCATTATTATATGTAATTTAATATATACTACCGTTTAATTAAAAAAATATTTGCCTCAATTAATTTCAATCAGAAAGAAGAATAAGAAACATCATAGATCACTTGGGTAATTCCTAAAGGCAATACGCCCTCTGAAATAAAAACGTGGACATGAACTACGAAGCTAAATAATGAATGTTTTCAGTAGGTAACATTATTTTGGAATGTTCCGTTGTTAACACAAGTATCGATAATGCAAAACGCTAAATTTTTAATACAAATCTAAAGTTTTGGGTGGTCTTTCCCTCTCTGTATTAATAATATAATTAATTATTAGTATATTCCTTGATACAATATATTAATCACACATCATCCATCATCACCATCGCCACCGCCATTTTTACGTGATCTTTATCACAACGGTTCATCATTGAAAATAAATTATAATACAAAAAATATTCTAGTTTATTTTTAAATATTATTTTTAAATATTAAATAATATAAGTATTAAAATTAAAATAAAAAATTGGCTCAAATAATAATAATTAAAAATTAACTAAACAATTGATAACTAAGAACCAATAAAAAGCGCGATAACTGGAGCACAAGAAAAATCCTTTCTCTTTTAATTATTAATATATTTTAAATTATTAGTATATTTCAAATTACTCGTCACAATACATACAATAAATACGAACGTTTATCTTTTAATCTACCTTCAACGTGACATTAATATTATTACACATTGAAAATATTAGACAATGACATATGAAAAATTATATAAATCAGATGCAGATAGCATTTGTAATATCTGCATGCCGATTATGAAACGATTTATATAATTTCATATTTATTCATATTTATATAATTTTATATGTTATTGTCTAATATTTTTTAATGAGTAATATAATGATACGCCGTTAAATTTTTTTTCTAGATGCGATCGCGATCAACACCGAAAATTATTTATTATAACTATATGATTAATTAACTTTTATAAATAACACATAATTAATATCTATATACAAATTGCGACAAAAATTCTCTATCGCATTTAATCGTAATTTATTCATTTAATCAACTAAGAATTATAGTAACAGAAATCTAAAATAATAAATTATTATTTCGATATGAAATCGATTTTTACGAGCAGAAATTATTTCTTTAGTATTTATAGATATTTATAGAATACAATATATCTGCGATGCTTTATTTTTCAATCATTGAAATATTTTGAATTGTGAGAACGCACAATAAAATAATTGAATCATGAATCTAAACATAATGAAAGACTCCATACATCAATCTTTTAATAAATAATCCTATAATTAAAAAATCTATGTAATCTAAAATACTGTTATATACTTAAATATATTCCATATATACATATATGTATATATTAAAATACGTAAAATATTTCGATGACGAACAAACAATAACCGACCTTGGTGCCGTAATAGCGCGCTAATGTTTATATGCTATAGTCTTGTAAAATGTTTCGATAAAAAAATAATAACACGGTCTTTCGGACTAACTTTTTCGGTTCTATTATTATTCGCGCGTCGACACTCAAAGAGTAAAGTAGTGGTATACAAGACGCTCCGTTAAATCCTTTTCTAGGCGCGATCGCGATCAATATCGAAAAATTATTTGCTGTATTTATTATATTATATTATATATAATATAAAATATAATATAATATAATACAATATATTTCGATATGACGAACGAACAATAACACGGCGTTTCTTGACGTAAACAATAGCGCGCTAGTCATACGGTCTTAGTATCATTCACAAAGCGACACTCAAGCAGTAAAGATCGTAGTGCGAAATATGTCGTATATTCTTATATGTTTATATGCCATAGTCTTGAAAAATGTTTCGGTACAAAAATAATAATAACACGGTCTTTGGATTAATTTGTTCGGTTCTATTATCATTCGCGCAATGACACTCAAAGAGTAAAGTAGTAGTACAAGACGCTCCGTTAAATTCTTTTCTAGACGCGATCGCGATCAATATCGAAAAATTATTTGCTGTATTAAAATATGTAAAATATAATATAATATAATATAATATAATATAATATGATATAATATAATAAAAATACGTATTGTTTACGCCAAGATTGATATTATTATCTGTTTGTCATCGAAATATCCTACGTACGTTAACATATTTATATTACCTTATATTGTAATATAAAATATAATACAATATATTTCGATATGACGAACGAACAATAACACGGCATTCGATTTTGACGTAAACAATAGCGCGCTAGTCGTACAACGTATGGCCTTCGTATCATTCATAAAGCGATACTCGAGCAATAAAGATCGTAGCGCGAAATACGTCGTATATTCATAATTAATTATTAATTAAACGATTATTGTATCATGACTTTCAATTATATTAAACTTTCGACTATAATCGTATTAATATACATGTATTGCATATATATATCAATAATGAAAACAACAAATTCATTACGCGTAATAATTAGTTTTACAAAATGAATTATTTTGAGTTTTATAAAGAAGATTTATAATTATGTATCTATTAATTATATATTATATTATATATAAAATTATATATAATATAACCCTCCCACGGGGTACACCTTGTCGCGGTGGGAGGGCTTAGTACTTGGATGGTGCCTTGAAGTTTATTTTAAATTTTTTAATTTAGAATAAATCTCAAGGAGCCTGAAGAGGAAGCTAAGTACCCTTTCGCGTCGTCGGTGCCGTCAACGTGTCGCGGACGGTGGCGTCTCGTTACCGCGTTTTCGCGTTTAGCTTTTTCGCGTCATCGCGTTATCGCGTTTTCGCGTTGGACTTTGTCGCAATCCCACTTTCACAAGTGAAACGGGATTTTCGCTCGTACCGAAACCGGGAGTGCCGTTTAAAGTATATATATATTAAATATATACATCGCGCGACAAAACAGAAAATTTTTAATCGTATCGAATAGTGCGGGAGTGCCGTTCAGTATCGCGCGTAAAAGTGCGAAAATAGCGATATAAAAATATCGCACGTGAATGCGGGAGTGCCGCTAAAAGTATCGAGCGATTAAACTGAGAGGAGGAGGAGGCCTAGGAGAGGCATCGAGCTTCGGCAGAGCAACCGTCTGGTAAATAGTTTATTTATTTGCAATATATATATATATATATATATATATATATATATAAATTAAATATTGAATATATTTATTATAATTTAAATTAAGCAATTAATCGTAATTTGATTTTTTATTCATATGATTTAAATACGAATTTTAAAGAAAAAGATTTTTATATAAAATTTATAATCTTGTAAAGGTTTTATAAAGTTATTCAAGAATTATTATTAATATTTTATTTTAACGTCTTATTTTATTTTAGTAATATTTTATTTTATTAATCTGCTATTATTATATGCGTCGGATATAAAATTCAATGCATACAATAATTTTTAAAATATTAATTATTTTGAACATTATTACAATTTAGATCTTCTATTTGTATGTTATAGATCGACGCAACAACCTAGATGATCTGAGAGGAGGAGCAGGCCTAGGAGAGGCATCCTGCACCAGCGGAACAACCTGATGGTGAATATTATTATTTATATTAATTGTATATAAATGAATTAATTAATTTATTAATTTGATTCATGTGAATGATTTAAACAAGAAAAAATTGGGAAAATTTTTGTAATATTTCTTTCTATATAATTCTTTCTAAAGGTTCTACTTGAAAAAATTAATTAATTATAAAATTATTTTATATTTATATATCTATTTATAATTGCGCACATCAGACATAAAATTCAATGAATCCAATAATAAATTTCTTAAAATATTAATTATTTTAAACATTGATGTAATTTGCATTTTATATTTGTATGTTACAGATAACATAGCTTCAATATCAATTCCGCTGTTGCGCATCAGTGCCGGTAAGTGACAACCTTTTATTTTGAAGCAAAGGATTTATAAATGCATGAAGAAATCCATTGCTTCTAACTCTCCGTTGGCGGGACAATACGCGAGTAAAAATTAAAGTGAAAAAGTAAAGGAAAAATATTTTTAATAAAGATAGATGATATTTTTATTGCAATTGTATGATGGACATACATGAAATATTCTAAAATTCTATTATATATCGGTCTCTATAAAAAACAATTTTATAAAAATATAGGCTTTTAATCGATAAATATTTAATCTATAAAATAGAGATATTTCTAACCAATCTGCCAACCGAGAGTTAAAATGCATGCTTTTTATCTTTTATGCATGATTGAATTTATAACTTGCAATTTTTGACGACTGAATAACGTGCGTTAAAGAAACGATTATAATATTGCATGATCGTTTTTAAAACAAATAATCGTCAGAATGAATGGCCAGAAGTGGAGATAACTGGCCTGAAAAATACATGGTCAATATTGGCCAAAAGATGTGTTGCGCAGTTAAGGCTCTTTAAATTTTATCGCGAATTTCCGATTAGGGCTCCC